ACGCTACTCATCTGTCTTGGGTTTGCTCAGCTCACCTAAGGTGTTAGGATAAAACCTGTCAAATGGTAAGGAGATTTGCTGTCTTGCTAAATCAATTCAGGAATGATGAAATGCACTTTTGGCAGATGGAGACTTCCTGAACTGGTCAGTCACCTCCTTTCTCCTCCCAATCTGTTGGTTCTATGTATGTTCCAGCAAAGGTTGTGCTTTATTTATAATTACTATGGCTTGCTACTCTAATCCCACATTTAATTGCCACCCCACTCTGGATAATACAGAGAATTTACATCTCCATTAATGAACACATTTGTTCTCATGTCTTGTCAGTTGTATTTCTTGCTTTGTGTTTAAAAATGCCTAATCAAGAATTAAATGACCTTCACTGGCAAGTTATGCAGGGCAGGTCTTTCTATACTAAAGTACATTTCTTCCATATTAAGATTGTTATCACTTGTAAAGTGAAACGTAACAGAATTTTTATCCTTGCCAGGTATTTCTCTTAAATGTCAAAAGTTCCAGTTCTTAAAACTCTGATGTAACCACTAGAAAGGGAAGTCTTTCAGTAAGAATGTAAATGGTTTCTGCACTGTGTGGGTCTCTTGCTGTTTATTATTGATGCCTTTTGCGATTTTCCCAAGTTGCAATTTTCCCATCTTGCTTTCCAGTTAACAGCCAGTTCCCAACTACCTCACACACAATGTTCTCTGAGTAGATTTCTTTCATGTATCCTCCTTTCTGTCTTCATTGCTTCTCCTGATAACCATCCGTGCAGCTAGTCACCTGACATTTAAGTTAACCCTAAATATCATGGTTTCATCAGCCTGAACACATGGTTTGGCTCCTTAACTCCTTAATTCCCAACCTGCTGCCCTTAAATAAAGGTTATTAGGACATTAATAATAATAATAATAATAATAATAATAGACATTAGTTATTTTCACTTTCAGTTGTCTTTATTTCTTTCTGTTGGGACACATTTTATGCCATTCATTTTGTGACAGCTACATTCTTGAGCTTCAAATCTTCTTTGCCTCCCACCCTGCTAAGCAGTTGTTCTGATTCTTGTATCCATCCTTTTTAATCTGCTGGAGGGTGAAATATAATTTGTTCCAATGAGGAGTCTACAGATTTCTAAGTCTACATGGGCCAAGCTGTCTTTTGAAGATGAAAGCCAAGATACCCAGGGCACCTCAGGGCAATGAAAATACAGGTGATACCTTTTTTATAATACCAAGCTGACTTCCCTTAGGGATTAATGATGGAGGAACAAATCTTGACATGAATGCCCCCTGCTACAGAACCAGGCTGAAAGGAAGTGTTAGATCAGGGATCACAGCCGTTGCTTGGATGGCAAGATTGAGCCAAACCATTTCCTCCTGTCTATAAAGGGAGATGAAACAGGCAAATGAAAATTAGAAAAACTAACACATCTTCTGCTTCCCTCCCTCAGGGAGAGAAAGAAAAAGAATATAACAAACAAGAAAGCATTTTCCACAAATAGTATTTTGGTATGAGTGAAGCTTGCTCTCAGCTCTGTGCCAGTAGAGCATTAAACTAACCTAACAGAAGCAAGACCCTGAGACCACAAAAGAGGGAGCCATTCATGTGAACTGTCAGCAATCTCCTGGCACATCCTGGAGATGGAGATACAGGGGCACTAGCCTCAATAAAGAAAACTTCCAGTGCTGATAAAACTGTAAGAAAAGTGCACCTACATACACAGAAATTGCAGTAAAGATGTGTGCTTAGGCCCTAAATGTATAAATTTATCTATATTTTACAGGAATAAACATTCTTGCAGCAAATAAAAGAAACACAGACCCCACAGACCTGTGGGACAACTAAGTGAAGTGATCCCTATCAGACTGGTGACCCTTATGCACCACCTCTCAGAAGACAGGGCAGGCACTGTTCCCTTACAGTTGGAGCACAGTCCAGCTATGTATAAAGAAAAACAAATAACTGAAGGGTTATAGGAAAAGAAAAATCAAACTTTCATTGTTATAATTACACAGCACAATAAGGGTAATTTTTCTTAAATCAGAAAATAAATTCTAGGTTCAAGCTCCCTGAAGGATATAAAATATTAGAGGATTTTTTATGGTTGTAATCACAAACTCATTTCTCCAGCCACTACTGGCCGTGTCTAATTAGGGCAAAGTATGTTAATGATCCAGCAGCACAGCCCAGAGACGTCTTCAGTTTCAAAATTAATTGCATTTA